ATCTGTCTGTCTGTCTGTCTGTCCATAATTCACAAAGAAAAACAACATTTACTTTTTTCACAACATCATAAAATCAGTTTATCAAAAATAGGATTAAGCATATTATTTTAAAGAATGATTTTTGTTTATAATTTTCCAGAGAAGAGCTTCTGTGTGGCAAAGGTAGAAAATTATGGGGCAATAGGGTCTTTAAAAAGCAATATGACTTCAGAGATAAAAAAATAGTCAATCCAATATTTCACATCTTCCATAGGAGGCCTTCTTTCATTCACCAGCAGCCATGTTTGTCATCACGCCAATTTGTGACAAGTTTATGGCGGCGTAAATATATATTGGAAGTTAGTTTATCTATAGCAGTAAAGTGGGAAATATTTCACTGGGCATGTCATCTGCTTATAATGACTTTATGTAGAGGAAATGACACTGGTGCTTCTGCAGTAACACAGTGTTCCTCAATTCTAGTGCGTGAATGCACTTGTATAATTGCACCATATCTGAAAGAATGCCTCTAGCCATTATTCTAAAATCTCACACACAGAAACCCTTTTCTGTTAAAAAAAAAAAAAAAAAAAGTGACAGGAGACAAAAGCGGACAATGAAAAGGGATAGAGGCGGATAGAAGGGAAGTGGGAGGCTGTCAAACATTAAAAAAGCATGCATTGGAAAAGGAAGAATTTGTACCAATATAACACATATTATGATTCCGACTTAAACATTTGTTTGATAAAGGGTATGGAGAAGGGTAAAGTAACACATAAACAAAAAGAGAGTCAATGCATGTGAGAGAATAAAAGAAAAATATGAAGGAAAAAGACATGAATAAACTAGACTATTTGCTGATCCATTAGGGACAAACATGAGGCATCATGCTTGTTACAAATCAAATTAAAAACCAGGCTTCTAAAAGGGAAAACGTAACTATTGTGAGAAAGTTAGAAACTTAGTTAACAATACTTTTTGATCACATGTACAGTGGGAGGCGTTGCATCCATGTTAATGATGCTGGACGGAGAATCTGCGAGTTTGTCATTCTGATAAGTTATGATGACTCCAGAGATTGATTGGTTAATTAAAAACAGGAAGGTGTGTTTTATAAATCAACGAGCATGTCACACCAAAAGACGTTGTGGTAGCTAGGCTAGCGCTGAGAGTCAAAATGGATTTTTTTCATACCCATATATTCAATCCCAAGATGCTCTGCCATTGCAGAGGGTTGACAGATGAAAGGAGGAACAAGGACAAAAACAGAAACAAGAGAGCAGATTAAGATATTGGCACCTCGAGCATACATATAGTGGTGTATAAACAAGTTGGCAACACAGCCAACTATGAGAGAAAATATGTTTTAGTAATTGCGCAAGACAAGACAAAACCAAGAAGCACAAACTTGAAACAATACTAGACAAAACCACACAAAACAACTGAACAATGTTAACTTCACATTGCCTATTAGGGCTGTCAGTTTCTACAGATGGAAGGTCCTCTGGTTTCTGCATGTCTCAACTTATTAAAAGAGTCTTTAATTTTAAGATTGATGGTAATATTTGAGGAAAAGGATTTGTTGTTATAAGGATCAGAAGGATGCTGCCGCCATCCTGTTATTGAACTAAATCCAATAGAGTAATCGGAAATACTTTAGTGTGTAACGTGTCAAAATACAGAATATTCCATTAAAACTTCACAGAGCAAATTTTGTCTTTTATTGAGTGAAATTGGAGTTATGATGTACAATTTCATTCTGAAGAGAAGTTATGTTACCTAAACAAACTTTAAACAGGAAGTGAATATTGGTTGCATAGTAACCCTCATTGCTGCTGTTAGAGGAAAATATGTGTCATCTGCAGAGATTACCCGTGCTTTTCAGTTTTCTGCCGTGCAGACTGTTACACTGTCAGCTCCCTGACACACCCATCACATGAACAGGCAAGTTAAGGGCTGGTGTAAAAAAACAGGGGTTGTTCCAATACATCTGTACTCTGTATTGGAATAATATTGCTGAATATAAAAATGATTGTTGGGCCATACATTTTCTGACAAAGTGAAGCCATGTGGACGTTGCACCAATGAGCCGAGTCCATAACTCTGGCATACTTGTTGGGTTTGGCAGCTCTCAGCCATGATTATGATAACATGTTCTTAATAACTCCAGCCAGGAGTAGAAGAAACCATCCTCCTTTTTATATTGTATCTCATGAGGATAAAGGCGCCTCCATCTGGGAGGAGACTCGGATGGTATGAAATTGGATAGTTTTTTTGGTATTTTTTTTAGAATATATATTCATGTTGTTAAAAGAACCTTGTAAAATCCCATACCAATCAGACCTTTTCATGTTATTTCACGTTTTAACTATAGACCTGAATGTATTTTATTTGAATGTTATGTAATACAGCAACAAAAAGAAAGGTTGCATTCAAATCTGGAAGGAACATGATGATACCTTCCACATTATGAAATCTTTTTTTACAAGTACAAGTTTGAAAAATGTCTTCACTGCTTTTAAAAACCAGATAAAAATTTGTCAGAAACTCATAAAATCATGTCCTGTTTTCCTTTCTCTACTCAAATATATCCCCCTTTGAAATTACAGTGTGACAAAAGTTTGAAAAGTTTAATAGGTGATAATATTTTTTAACAAAACTCAGCTTAAAGACCTATTTTAACTTTTCTTATGCCTTTGATAGACTTACAATGAAAATAAAACATAAAAGTTTAAGCAATTACAGGTTGACTTTTTTGACACAGGCACACACCTGTACTGAGGTGGGGGAGCGTCAAAATAAAGACAAAAACATTTTTTCAGTACGACAAGAAATTTTAACACGTTGCATCGCAGCCTAATGTGAACTAAAATTACTTGTAATTTACTGTATGTGTGTGGGGGGCATGTACAACAAACGTAAACTGGACTACAGAGATACGTCTTTGTGATCAACAGGCAGATTAACAAAAGCAGAAGCACTTTGGTATTCTCTTGAAGTTACTTTAAATGGAAACAGTATGAGCTTACAGAAGACATGATGCTAACAAATATGCTGTAGGATTTTAGCAGGAGACTTTGTTTTAACAGAACTAAGTTGTACTTTGCCTATTATACTAAATTAAGAAAAACATCATATCTTCAGCTCTGGGGGTTTGCAACAATAATACTGCATAACTTGTTATCTTGGTTGAATATTTGTGAGGGCCTGAGGGTATTTTTACACAATGGATGTTGTATTTAAACGAAGACAGTCTGAAGGAAGGCTTTTGTCTCCAGATTGTTATCACAGTAAAATGCCTTAAGGGCAGGATTTATTTTAGAAAACTTCTCAACAGATCTTCCATTAATTTTGGGCTAATCTTGAAATTGATGGATGTTTTTGCCAGTGTTGCTATGTTGAATTGAGATGTTAAAATGTCTGCTTAGAGACTTGCTGGACTGTTTTTTTTTCTTTCTATTTTTTGTTGAAATTTTTTTTTTTACATAATTAGACCATAGAAAAATACAAGGAAGAGCATGATTATAAAGATAATGAATGCACTTAATTTTATTTAGGAATGCCAAAGCAAAAGGGGTGGGGTGCACAAATTATTCTTTCGTACATTTTTCAAACTTTTTACTTTTTTTTACTGCTAAACTACCAATATATAACAACAATGTTGGGATATTTAACATTGCAAAATGTGAAAGTTAAATAAATCTATTCAATATTATTTGCATGGGGCTCCTATGCAGTATGAGCACCATTTTGTTGGTTTTTTGTGAAGCCTACATGTCAGTAGTTAAAAAAAAAATTCAACAAGTCAAACTTTTACGGTGTAGCCCTAACCTTTAATTTCCTCAGAATGGCTGTAATTGAGGACCTCGGCATGCAATCAACTGGTCTGAAAGTGAAACAAGCACGGGTTCTTGCCTCAGCTTTGAAGTACTGTGATGCGCGGCTTTCAGATGCATGCAGCCACAATTAGTCAAGAATTAAGCAAGTATTGGGAAACATTCTGTCATGTTGATTCATGTTGCATCTCCTGATACCGCTAATTAAAAGTTTATATACGAGCTAGCTGTCTGAGAGACTCCATGGAGGCGAGAACCTGAGTTCTAAGCTTTAGCTAAGCTTTGTTACACCTACAGAATGCAAGATTTTACATGCATTTTTACAAAAACTTTTGCTCAGACTATGATTTGAATTAATGGATTGACTCAAGTAATATCGCACATGCATACAAGCCTTGAAATTGCATAAAGGGGGCTCCCGAGATTAGTTTTTTAGCTTTCATCCTGCCAGTGTTGTTACATGCAGCTCACTTTATGCAAACAATCAGCTTCCAAGAAGCATCTAAAAAAGACAACACACACACACCACAACTTGTTGCATGCAAAATCTACCGCGAGACGGCACATGCAAAGCTCTTTCAGCTACAGGAAGAGCGCGAATACACAAAATCAAACTCGGACCAACCACAGAAACACGCTCTACTAATCTGTGCCAGCTTGTGAATGAGTCATCAAAGGACACAAAGATATAATTATTAGGTAACAACAGGAAATGACTGAAATCTCTCTACACCCAGCATGCATGCATCACACAAGGACAGTCTGACACAGAGACAGAAGAGAGAAGTTGACATACGGTAGAAACTGGCCATAACGTAGGTTTGACAGCGATCACCAGTAAAGTCATTTGGACACCTGATGGGAAGAAAGCCAAAGAAAGAGGGGGAGGAGATGAATGAGGAAAAGACAGAAAATAGAGGGACAGTGAAGTGAAAAGGGAGAGCAAGTTTACGAAAAGAAGGGGAAAATTGGGGAGAGGGGTGGGAGAGAAGGAGAGAGACACAGAATTAGAACAACAGCACAACTACGGACAGCAAAAGCAGAGTTTTCCCATGGACGACAGCACCATGTGTATGGTGGTGTGCACAGCTCATTGTGCAGTTGACCTGAGAGGGAGGAAGAGAAGGAAAAAGAGCAAGACGGTTGGGGTGACAGGAGTCCACTGGAGTAAAACCAGGGGCTACAGTGTCTCTGTTGTCGTCTGCTCATATCAAGTAGACATACTTTTTAAAGGATCGGACATGTACAACCGCTGTGGCTCGGTGTTTGAGCATCGACGGCCGTAGAATCCGTCCGGACATCTGGGAAAAAGCACACATGTGTTATGAAAAAGAAAAACACGAAGATATTTTTTTTTTGAATACCAGACATTATAATTTTGAGGGGCTCTGCACATTGAAATAAACACAAAAAAAAAATCAACATGTGGCAATAACTGGACAAAGACTGAAATCCTGCTACAGGTCTTCACAGCCAATACATAAATCATCCGAAGGAATCCTGTGCAACAAAGCTGAAGATAGGTTAATAAGGTTTCTTCTTGCAAATCCTATTGGAATCCTGGCAGCTGTGCTCACAACCTGCAAATATGCCAGTTTTATCTCAGTAACAACAAATCAGACAAAAATAAACACCACATTACTGACTGGAATTTTAGAAATATGATTTATGAAAACACAGAACAAACATTGGACTGTTTGTTTAATGTGGTTTATGGTGTTAACATGTAGCTCTGCCGGTAAGTCAAAATGGGTTAATATTTTTGTAACTGAAGACAGGCTATCTCCAGGATCAAGGGTGTTGACCATACTTCCTCATTATAATCCCATTAGGGTGAGTCAAGGGGTCACTTCAAGAGGCCACCAATGTTTTACTCACAACCAACACAAGACTACCAATCTAACAAAGGTCAATGCTTTTGAATTAGTGGTTTCACAAAACACCTCCCAGGAGCACAATAACATTTAAGAGAATTACTCATCCTGAGTGATGGCTTAGTTTGAAACTGGGGCACTGCACCACCCTGATACTAAGGAAACTTGGCTGAAAGTGGAAACATATTAAGCGTAATTAAGACATCAACATAAAGCGCCAACTGGGATCTGGGAGGGCATATATGAGCAGGTTACATTCTGAAAGAGATAAGCAAATTAGCAAATGGTTTGATTTGTCTGGGAAGATCTGCAGACATTTGACATCCTTGATCCTAGAGTGGATGGTGGAAATTTATAAACTTCAGTTCTAAAACATTTTAACATTCTGACACTCATGTACTGTAACGTGTCTGACAAATGTTTCTCATTACAAACACAAACTAAACTCTATCTTCTTTGTATTCTATGTGATGGACCAACAAAAGCTCAGCGCTTGATTGTGGAATTGTGGGTGAATGTTTAGCTCCATGCATCTGTGGTTGTGCACCTACAGTATATCCACATGTTTTGCCTATGCCTGCATGGATGAAGGAGACTTGCATTGGCATTTTTTTTTTAAAAGCACTCTCCTTCTTGCCTCTCTACCATAAAATACAGATTTGTAGAGTGCAGAAATATTTGTGGTGCAAAGAACAAATTCTCACATCTGGATCTCTGCTCCTCTGGATTTGCCATAGACATTTTAATGGCTTTATGGTTAATGTTCTGCTTGGCTTTCTGGGTTTTCTAATCAGTGTGCTGCATTCCTTTTTCCTTATGATGCCGATATATACTAAGATAAATTAAACAGTAGCAGAAATATAGCCTGAGCTTTGGGTGAATGATTGCACTGAATAATATGATATCCAACTAAAAGTATTTAAAAACAAATATTAGCCCCAAAAAACATTTATCTACGTAATCAATCTCCAGTTATGCACTTCTATTGTGTGAAAACAAAACTCAAGTAGTAAGAACACAACAGGTAAACGATTAATCAACTCTTCTCAGCTAAATCTGACCTTCCTCCTTGTTGTTTGTATCTTGCTTTTTTTTTTTTTTAAAAACACATGTATTGCCTTTTACAATCAATTAATCCAACTCCTTTTTTTTGTTCATCTATATGCATTTGACTCAATAAAATATTTTTAGGTAATTAATTAATGTCAACACTGAAGTTTATGTCTTAATGACAAGCAGATGGATATAAAAGACAGCCTTGCTGTTTGCATGGTTGCTTAGACAGTGAGAAATGCCCAGAAGAGCCTGGCCTGTATCAGATAAGGTGGCCATGGGACAACAAATTGCTCCAAGCCTTTCCTACATTAGCCAACTCTATAGGACCTGTGCCCTGGCCTTGAGTGAATTAGCAGCCGCTACTGAGTTATTGCCACCTTTGATTTGTACACAGCATATAGAAGTGCTGTTGCAGTCTTTGCTGGTTGTTTACATTTTTTTTTTTTTTTTTGCTCTGGCCAATTTGGCAGCAAAGCCCTGCTAATGTTTCAGCTCTACATCAAACTGCCCGCCAGACTTATGTGACAGTTTATGCTCTAAGAAATCCTGTAAATTGTAATGTCCGACATCCTTTGAAGTGAGATTCATGTTCTGCGCTATTAAGCTCTGATTTAAGAAGTCAAACTAGCAACATCACTATAACTGATCAATTTTTGTGCTCTACAGACTGACATTTTGCAAAGTGATTTTGACACAGTTAAAAATACTCTATACATTTGTCATTTATTTATATATTTATCGTTTGTAACCACAAGCTTCCATACTTTTTATTGGGAGTTTTTGTGATAAACCCACATAAAGTGGTTCTTTACTAAAAAGTGATAGAATAATCAGGCAACATTCTTGTTATTGAAAAAATAAATATAAAGCGTGTATTTGTAACTTTGTCCAATTTTTTTAATATCCGTAAATAAATTTCATAGAAACATTAGCTGTCATATCTTATTTTTTCAAGTAAACCCTAACAGCTTTAATAGTACAACCTTAATCACAGAATTAGATAGAATTAGCATACATAGGGAAAGTTATGTGAAAGGAAAACTGCTGCACATTACCCTGAATACATGAGCCCCACTTTCAGATATGGGGATCATTGTATGCTGTTAGGGTAAAATGAGTTGTTTTATCGTGCTATGACATTAAAAAAACTAAACACACACAAAAAACAATAAAACATTAAAACACACCAAGGTTTGCTGATGTGTCACAATTAAAAACAATTGTAACATTTAAGGGATGCTGTGGGAAAGTATATTAATGGTGAAGAAGAACTCAAAAAAAGATTTTTTAACCCGCAACCTGAAATAAGTTATACATTTGTCATAGTTTAAGGAAACATTTAATGATAAAGAAAGACTGGACAAGAAACTCTTGCTTCTTTGAAAGTGAAAATTTCTGACACAAACAGATAGAAAACTCCCTGTTTATGTCCCCCTCCTGGAAAGCATCCTTACTTATGTTTTTTTTTCTTTCTTAAGCCTCACACAAACTAAAATCTAAATGTCAAAGAGGTTGTTTCTGAGAAGATGTCAACCTCTGTTCCCCCTTAAACTCAATGACACAGACTTAAACACATCTTAACACATTGGCCTTGATCGCCTCTCTATAATGTAAGCAACGATTGTATTTATCTCATTGGGGGCCTCTAACAGGAATAAATATTTGTTCACTACTAAACCAGTGACTCATGACATTTAAAAGGGCTTTTAATGTGCAGCCCTTTTGTACACTAAACAAGACTTAAAAGAGTAAGCACACCACCTGACTCCATTATTAGTGTTAAAATACACAACAGGTGGCGGATAAGAGGAACCGAGATCCTGACTCCCCCTTCCCCTTTATGCCTAACTACTCTCTACTGCTGAAAGAAACATGGTACATCATGATAATAGGTTTTTTTTCTTTGCTGTTATATTGTTTTAAAGATCAAACTGTAAAGATTAAAATAGAGAGTCCAAAAAAAGCATCAAAAGGAAAACTCACCTGCAGGCAATCTCATTTAGATTATCGACGAAAAAACACTCGCCACCATTTACACAGTAGGCCTGCTGTGTTTTGTTGCACCCTCTGGTGTGGCCTGAGTCTGGAGATAGCGTTGTGGTTACTAGAACAGAAAAAGAAAACATGACAATTTTACTCATGTATCACGAGAAATCCACAACTATTGGATTAATTGGCAGAGACCAGCTGAAACTCTAAAAATAGAAACACCATTGCTAGAGAGGAAAACCGAAGAGTCCTTTAAGTGTGTTTAATAAGTACATTGGAAATAATAAGCTTTAATCTTAGTCTTAGTGCAGATTTTTACTTCAGAGAAAATATTGACCTAAGATATTAGTATTATATTGCCTTATCTTCAAATGAACTCAGTTTAACAAAGATGGCAATCCAAAATTTTTAGTAAGAAATGTGTGAAAATCATTACATTCCATCTTTTTTTGAATACAATGATCATGCATAGAACTATATAAAAAAAAATCAACATTTAATGTGAGCTAATTTATCCGAACATAGTGCAGTGCCTCTTTTTAACTAAGTTTACATGCAGTAGATGCAGATTAGTGTAAGATAGCACCTTTTTGTTAAAATGTTGTAATGGTGGAAGGAAAAAAAAAAGGTAAAACAAACTGTTATAGGTTTACTGTATTCATATTTTCATTCACATTTTTGATATTGGCTACAAGAGAAATTCCTCTGTGTCACATGTGCTTCCCAGGGAAAAAGTTATTATTACTAATGTTTTGTTTCCAACAAAGCTGGATCATTTGGCTCATTAAATACATCAGCTTCAACAAAATCACTATAAAATAAATCTAAGTCAAATCAGGGATATGAATACTGGTCAAACATGCCCTTGTGGGACAGTCCTAACATTTATAGTCTTGATTATAAACAAGTATTTTGTGATTTACTTATACAACACACTTTTACCTCCAAAAGGACTCTTCAATGTTCAGCCTCAGATGTAATTGTGTTTCTAAGCAGTGTTGACACTATCTCAAGAAGCTTCTACGAAGAAAGATAAATATTTCCCTGTCATAATGTAGGAGTTGTTTATGCACTGACTCAATTCATTGGAATGGCCTGAGATTTCATGTATCTGATCTTAATCCCCCCTCTACTTCTCTGACTGCGCTGATATAACATGCCTGGGATGAAGACTGCTTATCAAAACACGGGACAGGTAAAAAGTGGCAGGATGGGGCTTGAGGGGAATGGGCTGTGCTTAGCATGTCAGATGGTGACACGTGATTGCACCAAATGTTAGATGTTTCAGTGTGACATTGAAAATAGAGATGCTTTGTGTGGGAAAAATGTTAAGAGTCCCAATATATCTGCAGTCTGATACTAATGCCGTGCAAAGTGCTGTAAAGAGGAATCACTCAATTAATTTTTCAGCCAGGCTTCTGGCTCTGACAGTAAGCAGTTCGCCTCCACTGCAAGGTTTCACAACTCCTGCTTCTCATTCTTTATTTTTTCAAGAAGTCGGAGAAGTTTTGCTTTGACAAAAAACAACAAGACCAACAAACCAAGCATATTCTGTAGGCCAATGTTCTTGTTTATAGTATCAGTTTGAAAAGACTCCAGTAGGTTTTCAATTTAAAAGACTAAAATGCAAAACTGTCACAAAACATTAAAAGCAGAAGAGTATACATGATGAAAATACAGTAGCTTTGCAATTAAGTTAGATTTTCCTTCCTTTCACACTCATACAATCTCAGGTTTAACTCCAACAAACATCCATCTGAAAAATAAACCAAGATATACATTTACTGCAGGTTTAATCTGGTGAGATCAGTTAATTTGTGATTCATAGCCAACTTCTCCGTTGAAACAGGATTACATATATAAACACCTGAGCTCCACTGTCACATATTCCTGGGTTAGCAAAACACAATAATATTTTTATACCAGAAGAGCCCTCAACATTATCTGCTGCCACTTCCATGGGAAAACCATTTTAGCATCATCAGCAGATCACGGCTAATTTTCTTTTCATCTGAGTCTTCCTGCTTGCACCCAGCCAGGTAAAACACCAGTAGGGAGGCAGCTCATAGAATTTCATGCACCTTCCTTCCAATACTAAAAATTAAAACCTCTCCAAAAGGCTTGGCTTTTACTCTAGATATATAAATGGTAAAAGTGCAGAACAAACTGGTTAAATCTAAAGAGAGCAGATGCTAGTAAAATGGACTTGCATCATTTATCTCTGCCAAGTTTTTATAAAATTTCCCCTTTGAACCCCAAAGAGTCTCCATTCAATCCTGGTACTGTTGCAGTTTAAATCATTTTTAATTAGACGCAGCAGACAACTTTTTTAGAGTTTTGTGCAGTTATTTCTTCACTATCGGGTACTGCACACTGCCAGTCAGCTGGCTGTGTGAAAGATGGCAAGAAGGAAAGAGATTGGAAATGGAAATGACACTACAGCTTAAAAGGGCTGACAGAGCATCAGCTGGAGCATAGCCAGTCAAATTACTATCTTAATTAATTTGTATTCCTATCATTACACTATAATAACAAATATCCATTTCCGTCACTCTGTATCCAAGCTGTGGTTGTGAGGGGTGCTGGTGCCTATCTCCAGCTGTCTATGGGCGAGAGGGGCTGTACACCCTGGACAGGTCACCAGTCTATTGCAGGGCAACACAAACAACTATTCACACCTAAGGAGAATTTAGAGAAGCCAGTTAACCGAACAGTCATGTTTTTGGACTGTGGGAGGAAGCTGGAGTAGAGAACCCACACATGCTCAGGGAGAACATGCAAACTCCATGCAGAAAGTCGCCAACCTGGGAATCGAACCCAGAACATTCATGCTGCAAGGCTACTGAGCAGACTTATTTTAAAAAATATATAATCTATCATAAGAATGTTATGTACAAAAAACACTCTTTTAATTTTGTTTTTCCAAGTTTGAAGACGTTTCGCTTCCCATCTAGGAAGATTTTTCATTTCAAACTGTCAGACTTAGCGTTGAGTTCGAGGCTTTATAGAGTGGACCAAGACAAAGCCTTGTTTTAGCTCACTATGACCTGGATGACTGATATCTTCACCAGCATATTGCTTAAGTCTGTTATGAAAACTGTAATGACAATAAAAAATGTTTATAGAAAGTTATTTTAACTTTGGTACAAGTTTCTTCATGATTGTTGCTTCTCTGTTTCGAACAAATGTTACCAAATCATCTCAGGCATTATTGTTTTGAATCTTTAAGTTAATATTCTTTCACAGTATTATTTTCACTCAAGGGTATCATACCGTGAGAATGTTGTAACAGCCCATGCCTCCCTATATGTGGGTATAAACCCACATATGTGGGGTGCCTTAGAAAAAGAACACTTAACAGCAAAAATCAAGGTTGCAAACTTGACTGCAGACAGGTTGTGCTATTAAAGTTTAAACCATATGGGCTTCACTGTGGATTGTGTTTTTCCTTCACTGTGGATTCTGTTCTGCAGACTCAATCATTTTTTTGAAAATAGAAAAATAGCTCTGCTTCTTAAAGTAAGTAAAACATTTTATTTTAAAATGTAACAAGGGTATATTAGGCATATTACTTGTGTCACAAATGAATAATCGACAGCTCCATTACTTTCTATCACATAACACCACCTGCGTCTGGCACAATGATCGCTTTCAATCATGTTCCATTTAAACCCATCAGCATTTCTGATAAAACTGTTCACATCTGAAGCACAGTAATCTGGTCTGTCATGTTGCTTTAAATGCAAAATTAAACAACCCTAATTTGACTTCTGTGTATACAAAGGCTCCTCATTCGCTGTCTTACGGTATGTTGGTGTCTAGTCTATCCATTTTCCAACAAATGCCCAGACTTGGTGTTGACAACAAAGTATTAACACTCGGCTGTTTTAGATCATATACTTGTTTGTTGTTTGTTTTTAATGATCAAACTTGTTCACACACTTTACTTGTGGTGTACCACAAGGGTAAGTCCTTATTCCAGTTCTTTTCACCATATATATTATTAACTTATCAAAAATATCAGATAGCATGGGATAGATGTCCAATTTTATTCTGATGATACTATATTATAAAGCTATATTAAAAAATTCTAATGAATCCTATCAGTATGGTTTGCTAAACATATTTCTTAGAGGCTGAAAAACGTCAGTGACCTTTTATTTTCTGATTTTAATTCAGTCAAGTTAGAAGTCAAACTAGTCAATCAGTTACTTTCTTGAAAGCAAAGTTTTGCCCTATGAAAGTAATGTAGAGATTTGTTGGATATAAGCAGGTAACAGACATCATCCATTTAGTCGGATCTCTGTGAACAAAGCTTTGTAGATGGACAGCATGGGATAAAGTAAATTAGAGAATGGCTGAAAAACAGAGGTTTTTCATCAAGTGTTCTTAAAATAGGAGCCTTTCCTAAACAGCTATAGCAGCAGGCTGGTTTTGTGTTGATATCCATCTGAGTGCTTGCAGGTGGAGCCCACACATCTTCACTCAGCACACAGGGTTCATTTGGCTAAACAACAAATCCCACCTGTTTGTCTTCAAGAGCTTTTTCTAAGAAACAGAAAAGCAGCTTCACTCTCATCACAGCAAAGAAAAAAAAGGAGAAAATACCCTTCTCTGGTAATTTAGTCTCCAAAAAGTTACTGCAAATTTCCTTTTTATGCTTACTTGAAAATGATATCTATGCTGTACATATGATTTTGTATTTAGGGCTGAATAAATTATTGAAACCTGTCAACCAGCATAAGACAATCTTTTCGGTGGCATAAATCCCAGCACTGAAAAATCATGACTCAAAAAATTAGGGCAACATACATTTATTTCAACATATTAAGTCAATTAAATTGATTCAGTAGTTTTTCCTTCATAGTTTTAACACAGATAAAAGAAAAAAAAACATATATAGTTGCATGACATCTTCACCAAAAAGCAAAACAATCACCAGTTATGAATTGGCATAAAACTAACCATGAAATAAGGGATCCAAGCATGAAATCATACACTGGATGGTAAAGAACCCCAGCGATCACTGACAGAACAGTGGAAGGATTTGAAACACGGATAAAAATGATCCTCAATGTTGCAGAAAACTACAGATGCATTGGCAAAAACATGAGA